AAAAAGACGTAAAAAATGAAACAAACAACGAAAAAAACAGAAAAATTGGAATGAAAAAGAGACTATGTGGAAGATGTTTGTTTACCGATTCAAACATGATCGGATAAAGAATCCGAGATTCTAACGCGCCGGCACGCCCCCGTGACTGGGAAAGATATTTCAAAGTCGCGTCGGGCGACCTCCGTCCACCCTAGCAGAGATTGTTCAAATTGGTCTGGTTATGAGCAGCACCACTGAGCGATCAAATCTTACACACATGAAAACTCTTCTTTATGCAGCCCATCATCCCAGCCCCATCATTCCCGTTCTCTTCATCTTCTACTAGGCTCAAGATTAGGACAGCCCGCCTCCGCAAGGGGTCGGAATCGTGCGGCGAGTGTCAGCGACAAAAGACAATAGTAACAATCCCTTGTTTTCTCCTTGATCCCTAACCATGGTTAAGATGACGATAGTGCCGACTTAGGGACGAGGCCGCTGCCTGCGAACGTTGTACCAAGCATCGACTCGCCTGTACCTTCCACACGGACCAAGATGGGCGACAGAGCTCGACCTCTCGGCGGAGATTTGAAGAAATGCGGGCGGAACGGGATACTCTGGTCGAGCTGTTCCAAGCTCTGAAGAACAGTTCAGACGCGGATATTGCGCCTTTGTTGGACCTCATTCGCAGCAAAGCAAGCCTTGCCGATATACGACTGTATCTCGACAACGACAGATCTCAACATCAGCAACAGAGGTCCTCATCTCCCAACATGGCCAATGAATCTTCAACCCTGGTCGAGAATGGTGAACATGCAAATCAGTGATAAGATACGACTTGTGGCAGATTAATGTGCTTTGCGCATTATACAGCTTCCCATAGTCCAAATGCAAGGAAGCAGCACACCCGGAGGATGCCAGATGGCAAGGGCAGAACATATCCGGCTCGATGAAATCACCCATAACACGAAATCAAAATTCAGAGAAAATTAATGCTTCACCCCCTACGAGTTAGATCCCACCGACCTTGTTCCTGACAGCAATTTCAAGGGCACCATGACACTTCGAGATACGCGATGTATTATACCGAATCACGCTATAAATCTCTTCGAGCAGCAACCTAAAAGTAACTCGCCACCGGCTCCCCAAGCACCTCCGAGCGCGGCGTGATCCCCAACCCGGGCGCTGTGGGCGCCGAGATCCTGCCATCACGCACCTCAAACTCCCCATCCGCCGTCTTGAGCGCCACCATATCGCGACTCTCCAGGACACACCGCAGGGACCGCTCCGGCACGGTCTGACCGAGATGCACGATGGCCGCGAACGCAATATCCGACCCCGTGGTCTCCTGCACGCTGACCGTATACCCGGCCGCGAGACAGATATCCCGCTGCCTGCGGCCGCGCGTCAGACCCCCGTTCTTGGAGATCTTCAACCCGATGCCCTCGGCGGCGTCGTCCGCCACGAGCTGGATCACCGACGCATCATCCGTGGCCAACTCATCGAAGAGGAGGGGCACGTCCGTCCGCCGGCGCAGCGAGAGGCACTCCCGCCACGTCGCGCAGGGGGCCTCGAGCACGAAATCCAGCCCCGGCGGAACCAGCCGCAGCATCCGCAGCGCCATCTCCACTGTCAGCCCGCCGTTCGCATCGACGATGAAAAACTCCCCGGGTTGGCGATCTTGCAAGGAGGCGGTAATCCGCGCTGCGTCCGCGGCCGGATCATCGCCCGCCACCTTCACCGAGTGGCCCCGGTACCCGCGGGCGCGGTGCTCGGCGACGCGCTGCCGCATCTCGGCCGGCGCGCCCACGTGGATCGAGCTGATGACCGGCATGGCGGTGTTAGTGCGGCCCCCGAGCAACTCGCAGACTGGCAGGCCGACCGCTTTGCCGAAGACGTCCCAGCAGGCGACGTCGAGGGCGGTCTTGGCGTGCGCGTGGCCCACCAGCGCCGCGTCCATCGCCTCGTTGATGCGGTCGACCCGCCGTGGGTCGAGGCCGAGGAGGTGTGGGGCGAGCTCGGCGATGCCCGCGCGCACGCCGCGCGCGTGCGAGGCGATGTACGTCGCGCCGAAGGGGGTGCTTTCGCCCCAGCCCTCGAGGCCGGTGTTGGTGGTGAGGCGGACGATGGTTGCGTCGAAGCTGGTGTAGGTGCGGCCGCCGGAGAGGTGGTAGACGCCGCCGGCGTAGGGGAGGTCGACTTGGTAGACGTCGATGCGGGTGATTTTGAGGGTGGACATTTTGCTGGCCCAGCGGTGGGTAGTTGAAAGACGAGGAATCCGATGCGTGGCTTCGATGGTCCGGCTCGTAGCCAGGAAGGATTGTCTCATATACCCTGGCAGTGGTCAGGTGAGATCCTGTGCATGTACCGTGTTCTTCAAAAAGGGTCGTGGTCTCAGGGCTTGGCTGTGAAGATGAGTCGCGCGGTCTCGCAACACCGAAAGGGCAGACAGTCCGCCCATTTCTGGGGTTGCGAATTGTATGCCCGTTTTGGATGTCTACGACCTTTGCAGTGTCTTCTTGATCTACTCGGCTAAATGCTGGTTGCTGGTCACTAGACCCAGTGCAGTATCAAACATGAGAGCCTGAGCTTATCTACTGCACTCCACATAGCCCCACCGAGTTTGATGGGTGGATTTGTCGAGATCATTGGCCACGCCAGCCCAGCATCATCTCGATAGGCCATGTATTGCGGGGTAAACTCAACCTAGTGCTTATCATGCAGAGCGCCCTACAATGTCCAGAGTATCTCGAAAAAAGCAAAGTCCGCCACCGCAGGTGCCTGTCAGTCTACTAGCTCAATCACCTCAATGCGAGTGGCCATCAACAACCCAGGAAAACACCTCCGTATCCGCAAATACCAAGACAATGCAGACAGCACCCGATACGAATAGACCTGTAGAATTCTAGCGATCAGAAAGCATTTCTCAAACGACCTTCCAAAATATCCCCAATTGCCCCCACCTCTCACCCCTGTCCCAGACCCACCGATAACTGCAATCCAACCACCAGACCAAAACCCTAACCCCTCGAACTCCCCTCAAACCTCTCTCCCACCGCCTCACACCCCGCAAACCACCCAGGTCGATGCCGCGTAAAACACTCAATCTGCGGCCGAAAGACTTCCAATCTACATCTCTGTCAACACCATCCACACCCGTTCCATCATCCAAGGAAGAAACGCACCCATTAGGAATCAACGCCGGCCGCACCACAACAATCCCCCCGCCCTCGGTCGCGTGCGGGACTGTGTAGACGGTGCATCCGCACCTTCCGCAGAAATACTTGTGCTTGGGGGCCCCGCTCGCAGTCTCGGTAATCGCGTAGGTGCGTAGCTGTCCTTGCGTGTTGTCGAGGGTGAATCGGGGGCGGGGGTAGCGTGCGGTCTGTATTTTTAGGATGGGTTTACTTCGGAAGGGGGGGGGGGGTTTGGGTTTGATTGGTGTTAGGCGGAGACTCACGATCTGGCAGGGTCCCCCCGCGCCGAGGGAGCAGTCGCGGCAGTAGCAGCAGTAGACTGCGGTGGGGGGGCCGGTGACGGTGAAGTGGATGGCGCGACAGAGGCAGGTGC